CCCCCCACCCAGTGCACGAATTTCGTGCACCGGGCCCCTAGTATATATATAAAACCCTAAGTGACCAGTCAACCGTTTCACCAGTCAACCTTTGACTTGGTTGCTATGATGCACACTGACCGCCAGAAGGCAGATGCTCAATGCAGGAGCTGCCCCCTGGTGGTCAGTGCACTCCCACAGCGGGAGTGCTGCTCAGCTGATGGGCACCAGATGCTGGGCTCATGGCTGGTGAGCGCAGCTGCAGTGGCTCAAGCCTCTCCCGCCTCCGACGCAGTGCTACCTAGCGGAGGTGGCAGCAGATGCAGCAGGGCCAGGATGAGTGGGAACAGTGGGCTCGGGCTCCTCCCTGGCTGCGTGCTGCTTCGCGCACTACTACATCCCTCAGGGGATGTCAGACTGCTGGTTTCAGCCCCATCCCCACAGGCAGTCCAACATCCCCTGAGGGGTCCTGGATTGTGACAGGGCACAGGCCAGGCTGAGGGACCCCACTGGTGTACAAATCTGTGCACTGGGCCTCTAGTATCTATAGCTATATATATGTAAGTATCTATATTAAGATCTGTGTCATTATGTATACCTATATCTATCACTATATCTATGTAAAATCTCAAATATGTCTCATAACTCATGTAGTAGATGATCTCTACTTAATAGTTACAGAAACTGCATCAGAGTGGGATGCAATTTATCAGAAGACTGAAAATTGCAACACTGGTGTGTCTGACCACAAAATCAACTTATTTCTATCTTGTCATAATAGGTGCTTTAAATATGTTAGCATCATGGATTATGAAGCCGTTATGTCTACAACTTTTAGTCATGCAACTAAATGTGCATTTCTGTTTTAGGAGTTTGACAAAGCCAGTGCACAGAAAGTACAGCAGTTATTCTGGGAGATCGAGGAAATGTTATTCGAAGGGAAAGTGAGCCCACAGACCCAGAACCTCATGGCTGAATGCAGCGAGTGGGTGAGACGATCCATCCATCTGAGGTAGGGGGGTAATTCGTAGTAATTCACCACAATGGGTTTTGGAACCGCCCACTCTGGACTCGTTTAACACAGTGAGTACATTTTGACTGAAACACTTGCCTGGTCAAAATATGTATCTAGAACACGTGCCCTTTACTGAGATGTTGCATCTTTTGGGATGGCGGCTGAGGAACTACTGAGACATCCCTATACCCAAGTGCATTTTAATTTCTGAGAAGCAGTTAGCTCATCCTCAGAACAAATACGAGAATGGTAGGTCACCCTTTACCTCCGTGTTTACTAGTATGTGAGCAACACGTGTGTGTCCTCAGTACTGAAAGTAGGGCACAGCTTGGGGGAGGAAGAGGGACAAAGTAATTATTTGCTGAATGATTAGAAAGATGAACCTTACCATTGCACCAAGATTCCTTATGTAGGAGGGATCACTTGTTGTTTTATATCAAAGATGGAGACTATAGATTGGATATAAAGGGAAGTTTTTTCTTCTTTCAACTACTCAGCCAAACTACTTAGGGGGAAATCCATATAGGTTCTCCGAAGGTCCTCTGTATTGTGCCCGGGGAGGTAAATGAGAATATTCATACAGATATCAGCAGATCTTCTGGTGACATCCACTAGGTACCTTTAAAAAATTCTTGAATAGGTAGGTTTTTATCTTTTCTTTTTAGTCCTCTATAAGCCTCCCGCCTCAGAGAATGCAATAGGTCCCTTAGCTATTACTTGTGGCCACTGACTTTTCTAGGCCTGGGGAGCCTGCCAATATGTCAGGAACTCTGACCTGCCCCTGTCACTGTTAACTCACATAGTTAAGATAAAAAATGAAGGAGGTGAGGTTAGAAGAAGAAACGATTGCAAGGAACATAAGCCAAGTCTACATATTTATAGATTCCTATTCATTACGTAGATCTTAGTTAACATTTATAGAGAATTTCTGTGTGCTTGCATTATACTCGATCAGTGTTTTCAATCTTTTCCATCTCATGGCACACGTAAACTAATTACTAAAATTCTGTGGCACACCAAAAATATATTTTTTGCTGATATGACAATAAAAATAAGTAATTTTGAATCATTCACAACCAATGGCTATTGTTGTGCTGGGTATTGTCATTTTTTTATTTGACAATCTAAGGGGAAAAAAGTCAGTGCCCTGGCTAAACAGGCAGGTATGACATGTTTTAAAAATTCATGTGGCAAAAAATATATGTATTTTTTGATGTGCCGCAGAATTTTAGTAATTAGTTTACGTGTGCCAGGAGACGAAAACTGTTGAAAACCAGTGCCCTAGATGTAAGGATCTGATAGACTTTATCTCCAGGTGACTGTTATCATTCTATCTTGCCTAGACAATCAAACATATTGAGTGAGTGGCTTAGACGCCTGAGAACTTGGCCTCAAGTCTGTCAGTGGCAAGAACAGTCTGGCCTCTCCCTGAAAGCCTGTGGTTTTCGGTGATGCCAGGATACTTCCCATGTGCCAGTATGTTCCTTATTGTTTCATACACGTTCCTTCAAA